TTTTTTTCTATTATTCGATTATTGAAAAAGAAAGAGGGGCGACCGGAACGCGCCTCGGACGCACCGCGCCACACACGCGCGCGCGATGCACGCGCATATGTATACGTGTATACGTGTACGTATAGGCTCGGTGATACACATATAGATATAGATGCGCTCCAACAGAGAGAAAATTTGTTGCGGTTTCAGTCGTGTGATCGGCGAGCTACGTCGCCTGAATTTTTTCGTTCTCTCCTCTTCCCCGCGCTCCGTGTGCTCTCCTCCCCTCCGTCCACCCCGGCTCTCTTCGCAAACATAAGCTCGCTTAGCTCCTTCCGCACGTCCATTCGCCCTTATTCTCCTCCACACGCCCGCGCCCGCTCGGAATCGTTCCTCGAGCACGCGGCGACACGCGCGCTGCCGTGTGCACGGGGGGCCTCGTTCGTACGCGAATATTCTAATCGTGGCTATCACACAACAACAATCGTCCGGGCCCGCGCGGGCCCGCGACAGACACACCCGCGCCCCTTTCGACGCGATCACCGAGACGTCGCTTTGATCCCCGACCCCTCCACCCCGCGCTCCACGTTCCCGTCTAAAGAACGCGCGCGTCTAGAGATGCTCCTCTTCGAAATGGTAGGCACAACACATATTTCTTACTTTGTATCTCGGTTTCGCACGGAGTCTTGTAGTCTCTCGGTTGATCCCCTGCGACCCTCTTAGCAGAGCAAGTACCGTATATTATATATGTATATATATCGTGGATAGATCCTGCCCACCTCTCTCCCCCCCGCCCATCCCTTCGACAACTGAGTTAGATTCACCGCAACTGGTACGCGTTGGCCGAGGGAGAACACGTCCGCGATGGGGGATCGTTTTTTCATCTCCCTCGGCTGTCAGTCTTTCTGAAAACCGGTCACCATACGCCGATCAACGGGCGCCAGAATCGTGGCTTTTCCTCTCGTTCCCCGGTCCGTTCACCCCCTCTCTCTCTCTTCGTCGCTGTTCTCATCCCCGTCGCTTCCCCGCGTCGTCCCGCCATCCACGATCTCTTTCCTCTTCGTTCTTCCGCCGTTCCGACGAGCTCCTCCTCGTCTACGTCACACTTCGGACTGACCCGCGTTCGACAAGACCAAACGTCAACTGAGGAGCAGGCGTTGTTCGGCCGGCCTTCGCTCGTGGAAGATCGACGGCGTCCTTGCTTCGTCCCCGCGAACGCAGGGGTGGCCAAGGTGACGTCGGGATCGGTCGCGATCGAACGCAACGTGATCAACGTTACCGCGTTCCTCGCGCTTCTCCCGATTCTCTTCGTCTTCCTTCTCCTCGTCGTCGTCGTCGTCGTCGTCGTCGTTGTTGTCGTTGTCGTTGTCATCGTCGTTAGTCCCGCGGCTGCTGATAACGATCGTGGCGGTGGTTGTGGTGGTGGTGGTGTTGTTGTTGTTGTTGTTGTTGTTGGTGGTGGCGGCACCGAGGTCGGTGACCGTGTCGGTGGTGGTTGTAGTAGCGGTGGCGGTGATGGCGGCGTTAGCGGCGTCGTGGTCAGTGTCGCATCACGACGAGCACGCCATCCAAGAGTTGCAGGTGCACGCGTAGCACGCGGTGGGTATCACGGGAGTGTAATAGTAACCGTTCGCGTAAACGTAGGCGGCCGGCGGGCCGGGCGGCGTCTGCTGATGGCTCGTCAGCCGTTGTTGCTGCTCTTGGCAGAGCACTTGGTAGGCGAGGCTCTCGATCAGCGACAGGGTCTGTCGTCTCTCGTGGCCCATCAGGCACACCGTGGACTCCTCCACCACGTTGTAGAGCAACGTCAGGTATTGGTACTTGAGGGCCTCCTCCTCGGGCCCGACGAAATGATTCCACAGATAGTTCTCGAGTTTGGCGCGCTGCTGGCTGATGTCCGGGAAGTCGATGAAGAATCTCGAGCACATGTAACGCTCGAGGGTCTTTATGTAGTCCGGCTGGTACGGTTTGTACATCTTGACGAGCAGGTTGCAGTACTTGAGCAGGCCGCCGCCGCGGATCTCTTCCGGATGCCTGGTCGAGATCAGCTTCTTGTGGAGATGATAGAGCGCCTCCTGAAAGTCACCGTAGACGGACTCGCCGACCACCGTCGGGTAGAAGTTCTCGCCGATCGGCAGCTTGCTGCACTCGTAGAACAACAGGAGGGAGTCGAGCACGATCTGGAACGAGTCGACGGAGAATTCGAACTGCCGCCTCATCGAGTCGACGAACTTCAGCTCGACGTTCCTGTGGCCGCGGGAGTTCCCGAGGGAGATCAGGGACCACCGGTCACCGTCGTTGTTCACTTTCACCATCTTGCTGACGTACGCCTCCTTCAGGCTGCACGTGGTGATACGCTTGCGGCTCACGCCTTCCGGTAGCAGGTCGAACAGCGAGCCGAGCACCGCGGCCTTCACCTTGTCGTAGTTCCGGCCGCTCGACAGCTCCACCGCGAAGATCAGGTCCAGATCGTTGTACGGCTGTGACTCCGTTGCTAGAACGTGGGACGCGGCGCCGCCGTTCAGCCGGATGTCCCGTACCCTCATGCCGGCGCCACCGTTGCTCGGGTCGGTCTCCAATTTGCTACGCACCACCGTCACCAGGTCCCTCAGACGGACCTCCAGGGTGGGGAAGTTACCTCGGCCGTGGATCGACACCACCTCGTTCATCACGTCGTTCAGCCGACGGACCTGCTCGAAACTGAGCACCGCGAGCCTCTGCTGTGGGTCCGGGCAGTCCGGGTTGTTGTTCGGGTTGTTGACGCTGCTCGTCTCGTTGCCGTCGTTCGTCTTCGTGCCGTTCACCTGGCAGAGGGACTCCATCATTGCGACCCGACGCTGGCGTTCCTCGCCGATCTCCAGGGAGCCACACTGCAACCGAATTGAAACGGGAGATGTTATTAACCGTGCCATTACCGTGTCCGGAAGGATCGCGTGGAAGGCGCCGCGTCGCACCTACCGACGTTCGAGCCGTCCGGCTTAACGAGATCGGGATATTTATTCATTTATCGCGGCTGCCTTCGTGGTTTTTTATTCGTATTTTCTGATTATTTATTTTCTTATTATTATTCGAGCCGGTCAGCTCGAATGCGAGAAGTCCATTTTTCGAAAATACGGAGATGGATATTTGAATATTTATATTACTCTAGAGCGCAATAATTCCTTGGAAGCGCAAAAACGTTATGCGTACTACTATGTCAAATTATTATATATTATTATATATATTATTATATATATTCAAGGATTCTGCGTTTCAATAAATTTGACAATATTTATAATATAAGAATATATATAATAATATATATTATTATATATATTCTTATATTATCAATATTGTCAAATTTATATATATATATATATATGTATTCTTATATTATCAATATTGTCAAATTTATTGAAACGCAGAATTCTTGAATATCTGGAGTTTGAAATAAATGGACTTAAGCTAGTTTCGAAATGAACGGCTCGTTTATTGTATGCCAAGTATAGTATCTGGTACATATAGTAGGCTAGTATAGTGTTTAGTGAATGAACATTTAATTTGCGCGTTTGTTAAAATGATTGTTATTTAAGCCTTTGAATGATATTATCGTAAACGATGTTATCGTAAAAAGTTATAAAAGTAAATTCACGTCTGCGAGACAGATGTGGACGTTTAATAGAATATTACATTAAATATTAAATATAAATATTATTGTGAAAAGGGTAATTTTGAAATAATCATGTCCGACTTACAATGATTTTTGTAATCGCAAGTATAATAATTCCAACAAATCAAATCTGAATACCATCTATTTTACAGTATAAAATCGCCCTAACAATTGTCAGCGATAAAATATACAATTTAGAAGTTCTAATTTATTCATACAAACAATTTAGAACAAATAGCAACTCGAACTTTCTTTATTGTTCTCATATTTTTAAGAGTTACCGCAACTTACGTGAAATTATTCTCAATTTTATTTTAATTTAACCAATTGTGCTTATGATTTAACGTTATCCCTCAATGATAAATCAATTATAATAATAACGTTTTACCTAATTTTATTTGATTTTAATTTATGTGTTTAATTCTAATTGATTTGATTTAGAATTATCTATTTATTTATCATCGTGATTCGTTTGATTAATAATCAGAAGTTACTCAGCTAGTTCACGCTATTAAAATCCTGAATTAAAAAAAAACATACGTAGAATGATGTTCGACGATTAATTCTACGTCTATAAGGAAAAGCGTCGCGACTGAGAATTTCAAATTCGATTTAACGCGTTAATCGAACTCTAGCATACAGGATTTACGTATGCATCATAAAAAAACCTCGTGAATACAAATTATGCAATTTGAAACGCTGCTGATACGGAGCCATCGGTGATCAGAACTTTGAACGAAAGTATTTCGGTAGTGAAAACATGTGACTCGCGGTGGTCTTCCTCGCAGCCACAGAATTACTGATTCGTTTTTTATTGCGATGATATATAGAACCATAACCATGCTAAATAAGCAGCTTAAATTCTCTCCATAGGTCAAATAAACAGAATTTCTGGAAATATGAAAACTGACGCAGAATTTCGATTATGCGGTCTAAATGTGGAAACACGAATGCTCAGCTAACGAAATTATATTTATTTATATTCATATTTGGACTTATATATTTATATTAATATTTATACTAATATATTTCAATTTATATTTATACTTATATATTTAAATTTATATTTATATCTATATATTTATATTCATATTTAGACTTATATATTTATATTCATATTTAGACTTATATATTTATATTCATATTTATACTAATATATTTAAATTTATATTTATATTCATATTTATATCTATATATTTATATTTATATTTATATTTATATATTTATATTTATATTTAGACTTATATACTTATATTCATATTTATACTAATATATTTAAATTTATATTTATACTAATATATTTAATATTATTTATACTTATATATTTATACTTATTTACATTTATACTTGTATATTTATATTCATATTTATACTTATATATTTAAATTTTTATTTATATCTATATATTTAAATTTATATTTATACTTATATATTTAAATTTATATTTATACTTATATATTTAAATGTATATTTATACTTTATTCATATTTGGCTAATAAAAAGAATTCGGGTATCGATGGTTCGGATAATCGAGACTCCCCTGTACACATTAATTCTACGTACATTAAATCCCTCGCGGTGTTTCCCCTTCGCTCAAAAGTTTGCAGATTGTGACGAAGCATGAAGCAAACTTTATGTAAAACTACAAGTTTCTTGTAGTGGGTCGAATGGAAACTTCGCTCCTTTTTCCCGACAAGTTGCGAGATAACAAAAACTAAATGACTTATGTACACACCGTGGCTCGCGAAAGTATTCGAGCAGCCTTTAAAGCTGAACAACTTTTTTTTCTCAGATTGTATCGAATGACTTGAATTTTTAATCGTAAAAATCTCCAGATTTCTCGCAACGTTTGACTGTTTGTAGTTAAA